TTTTTTTTTTTTTTTTTTTTTTTGTATTTTTAGTAGAGATGTGGTTTCACCATGTGGCCAGGCTGGTCTCGAACTGCTGACTCAGGTGATCCTCCTGCCTTAGCCTCCCAAAGTGTTGGGATTACAAGCATGAGCCATGATGCCTGGCCTATTCTTATTTTTTTAAAGAATTTTGAAACACAAGAATTGCCTTTACTTTTTCCTGTCCATCTTGTTAATCTTTCCTCTAATGCAAGAATTTTTTTTTTTTTTGAGACCAAGTTTCACTCTGTTGCCCAGGCTGAAGTGCAATGGCACAATCTTGGTTCACTGCAACCTTCGTCTCCTGGGTTCAAGCGACTCTTCTGCCTCAGACTCCCAAGTAGCTGGGATTACAGGCACACGCCATCACACCCAGCCTAAAGAAAGAATTTTAGCCGGGCGCAGTGGCTCACGCCTGTAATCCCAGCACTTTGGGAGGCCAAGGTGGGTGGATCACGAGGTCAAGAGATTGAGACCATCCTGGTCAACATGGTGAAACTCTGTCTCTAGTAAAAATACAAAAAATTAGCTGGGCATGGTGGCGCGTGCCTGTAATCTCAACTACTCAGGAGGCTGAGGCAGGAGAATTGCCTGAACCCAGGAGGCGGAGGTTGCGGTGAGCCGAGATCGCGCCATTGCACTCCAGCCTGGGTAACAAGAGCCAAACTCCATCTCAAAAAAAAAAAGAAAGAAATTTAAAAATATATAAACTATGGCTAGGTGCAGTAGCTAACGCCTGTAATCCCAACACTTTGGGAGGCCCCGGCGGCTGGACCACCTGAGATCAGGAGTTCAAGACCAGCCTGGCCAACATGGTAAAACCCCGTCTCTACTAAAAATGTAAAAATTAGCCAAGCTTGTGGTGGCACAAGCCTGTAATCCCAGCTACTCAGGAGGATGAGGCAGGAGAATCACTTGAACTGAGGAGGCAGAGGTTGCAGTGAACCAAGATTATGTCACTGCATTCCAGCCTAGGTGACAGAGTGAGGCTTTGTCTCTAAATAAACACATAAATAAATAAAATATGTAAACTACTTTTCTTAAAAACTCACCTGACCACTGCACTCCAGCCTGGATGACAGAGTGAGACTCAGTCTCTAAATACATAAATAAATAAATAAATATATAAACTACTTTTTTAAAAAACTCATCTGTCCACTGAACTCCAGCCTGGGTGACAGAGTGATACCGTGTCTAAAATAAATAAATAAATAAAATAAAATAACTTTTCTTAATAACTCATCTGGCCAAGCGTGGTGGCTCACGCCTATAATCCTAGCACTTTGGGAGGCTGAGGTGGACCAATCACCTGAGGTTAGGAGTTCAAGACCAGCCTGGCCAACATGGTGAAACTCCATCTCTACTTAAAAATACAAAAAATTAGCAGGGCATGGTGGCATGTACCTGTAATCCCAGCTACTTAGGAGGCTAAGGCAGGGGAATTGCTGGAACCTGGGAGGTGGAGGCTATAGTGGGCAAAGATTGCACCACAGCACTCTAGACTGAGTGACAGCAAGACTCAATCTCAAAAAAAAAACCTCACAATCTTGTAAATAGAAAAGCATGACAGCCTTTTTCTCCACTCAAAGGATTATGTACATATTACAAATATACTTTACCAAGCTTCCTAGTACTTGAATCTTCTCTCGCAAGGCATCACCAATCTGTCTTACTATTTCTCCTCGTTTTGGAGCAGGAATCTAAGAAAAGAATGCAATTATTGTGTCTGATTCAAAGCATAAATTCATGTCTCTAATACAGTATTAGATGTGTGCTATAAAAGAACAAAGTGTAATCACATCAAAGAAGACTTTTGATCACATCAAGACTGTGATATGACCAGGCACTGGGGTTAAAATACGAAACAAGGTATTCATGGAGCAAATATCTACTGGAAGGCACAGAGGAGAAGAAAAGGCAACAAATAATTATAAATTGTCATCAGGGTTATAAAGACAAAGGAAATAAAAAGGACACTGAGATAGAGAAAACAGCAGGATTGGAGGGGAAATGGACACATTACTTTACCTAAAAGTTTGGCAAGAAAAATGTCTAAGGAGGTAATACTGAAGCTGAAACCTGAAGAATGGGAAAAGTAGCCCACAGTAATATTCTTCCCAGGGATGAGAAAAAAAAGCATATAAGAGGGTCCATGGAAAATAAAAGGGGCTGATTGGGAAGGCCAGTATGTCAACGTGCCTTTTTTTTTTTAAGATGAAGTTTCACTCTTGTCACCCAGGCTGGAGTACAATGGCATGATCTCGGCTCATTGCAACCTCCGCTTCCCAGGTTCAAGAGATTCTCCTGCCTCAGCCTCTTGAGTAGCTGGGATTACAGGCACCCACCATCATGCCTGGCTAATTTTTGTATTTTTAGTAGAGACGGGGTTTTGTCATGTTGGCCAGGCTGGTCTTGAACTCCTGACTTTAGGTGATCCACCCGCCTTGGCCTCCCAAAGTGCTGGGATTACAGACATGAGCCACTGCATCTGGCCATAAGAAGGCCAGTATGTCTAAAGCTAGAAGCTTATAAGGACTTGGAATCTCATTTCAGGTACAATGTTAAATCTTTAATGCTTTTTTTAAGGTGCCAAATAAGAGGATTTGCTTTATCTTTTAATATTACTATCGACAGGTAGAGGATCTGTTGAAGGGGAAAGGAGTAGAAGGAGGGAGACCAATTAAGAACGTATAGGGCCGAGTGTGGTGGCTTACGCCTGTAATCCCAACACTTTGGGAAGCCAAGACAGGCGGAGCACAAGGTCAAGAGTTCGAAACCAGCTTGGCCAAAATGATGAAACCCTGCCTCTACTAAGAATATAAAAGTTAGCCAGGTATGGTGGTGTGTGCCTGTGATCCCAACTACTCAAGAGGCTGGGGCAGGAGATTCACTTGAACCTGGGAGGCAGAGGTTGCAGTAAGCCGAGATAGTGCCACTGTACTCCAACCTGGGCAATAGGAGACTCTGTCTAAAAAAAAAAAAAAAAAATTAAGGGGCCAGGCACACTGGCTCACACCTGTAATCCCAACATTTTGGGAGGCCAAGACGGGCAGATCACTTGAGGCCAGGAGTTTGAGATCAGCCTGGCCAACATGGTGAAACCACGTCTCTACTAAAAATACAAAAAAAAAATTAGCCAGGTGTCATGGCAGGTGTCTGTAATCTCAGCTACTCAGGAGGCTAAGGCAGAAGAATTGCTTGAGCCTGGGAGGTGGACATTTCAGTGATCAAGATCACACCATTACACGCCAGTCTGGGCAACAAGAACAAAACTCCATCTCAAAAAAAAAAAAAAAAAAAAAAAAAGGTCCCCCAGGCAAAAGCCAATCACACCCTCCCCCTAACTCCCACTGCTCCTAATCACAGCGCTTCTCACGCTTGCCTCACAGAGCTTGACTGTGAGCTCAAGGCTTTTCCTTGCTCTCTCTTCTCCCCAGGTGTATCACCATGTCTTAGCACAGCTTTTCTGGATGGTCATTTCGCAATCTATTCAAATTTAAAACATTTCTACCCTTTGACTAAGCAGTTCCGCTTACAGAAACTGAGCTTATATGTAAGTGTGCCCAAGTATAGGTACAATAATATTCATTGCAGTGAATGAATAGTAAAGAAAAACAGGAACCATCCAACTGTCCATCGGCACATAATTGGTTAATTATAGAACAGCCATAAAATAAGGTAGATTTTTATGGGAAAACATTGAAAAGCTATAATAGGATAATAGAAAACAAGAAAACACATATGGTAAGTAAACTTTTTCTTAAATTTGGAGGAACATATACCAAGCTGTTCACAATGGTTTTTTTCTGGGGAGTGAAATTATAACAGATTTTCATCCACAATTTATATGTTTGCAATGTCTGTCATTTTCACAACACATGCACTTTTTTGGAAACAGGAAACAAAAACCTGTAGCATTAAATCATCAGCACACAACCTATACATATCCTGGCATGTGGTGTGGGTTTAATGATGTTTCAATTGAATTTAGTCAGTACATTCATAAGTTTAGTCAAGTTGGTTAATTTCAACTCAGAATGGTCACTATACATGGTCTTTTACCTCCCATTCTGGACATGTTTTATTCAGTCACTTTCAACAAATAATTATTGCACACGTTCTATGTGCCAGATACTGTGCTAATCCCTGGAAATTCTACTGCAAATGCAGCAGTTACAATTCTTGCCCTCTACAGAGCTGACAGTCCATGGGGATGATAAAGGCAAGAAACAGGCAATTACAATCTAATGTGGTAAATGCCATGAAAAGAGCTAGATTTCCCAAGAGGAGCACCCTGAAGTAGGCTTTTTCCAGTTCAGAGTTTAGTAGGGCTAAGACTTAAAGCATGATGGGTGCTTCCCAAGTGAAGAGGTAGGCAAGGTAGAGGAAAAGCACAGGATTAGAGGGATTCGGAGCATATGCAAAGGCTGAAAAGCAAGAGAAAATGGTTTTGGAAAATTATGGCCAAGGGCGGTGGCTCACACCTGTATTCCCAGCACTTTGGGAGGCCAAAGCAGGAGTTCGAGACCAGGATGGCCAACATGGTGAGACCCTGTCTCTACTAAAAATACAAAAATTAGCCAGGCATGATGCCTGTAACCTCAGCTACTTGGAAGGCTGAGGCAGGAGAATCACTTGAACCCAGGAGGCAGAGGTTGTATTTTGCTGAGATTGCACCACTGCACTCCAGCCTGGGTGACAGAGTAAGACACTGTCTCAAAAAAAAAAAAAAAAAAAAAAAAAAAAAAAAAAAAATCAGTTCCCTGTCTTCAAGGACAAAGAGATTCCTGCTCTTTCTCACCAGAGATGGGAGGGAAAAGGAGAACACCTGGGGATGCAGGGGGCAGAAATCAGCAGCTTTCTGTACTAAAACTGGCTCATGGAAGAACACAGCAAGTCCATTCCTGAGAAAGAAATCAATTTCTATCAACTATCTTTCCATATGTGTCACTTTGTTTCCATTTGCCTTAAAGAAAAATGTTCCATCTGAAAAATTCTAGCATTGGTCAGGCACGGTGGCTCACTCCTGTAATCCTAGCACTTTGGGATACTGAGGCAGCTGGATCAATTGAGGTGAGGAGTTTGAAACCAGCCTGGCCAACATAGTAAAACCCTGTCTCTACTAAAAATATATTTTTTAAATTGGTAGCAAGTGTCTGTAATCCCAGCTACTTGAGAGGCTGAGGCAGGAGAATCGCTTGAACTGGGGAGTCGGAGGTTGCTGTGAGCCGAGATCATGCCATTGCACTCCAGCCTGGGCAACAAGAGCAAAACTCTGACTCAAAAAAAAAAAAAGAAAAAAAAAAAAATTCTAGAATTTACTCAAATTAACTACATGAAACAGTGGTTTACCCTAACACAATCAAGGTCAGACAAACAGATGAAGGCCAAGCAGAGAAGCCTCACGTGAGGGAGGATCGAGATGGGGCCTGTGGCTATCCAAAGGGAGTCCAGCTTTGGTCTGTTTTTATTGAGCCTCTCTAAGTCCCTACCCTACTGGCAGTAGCCCCAAAGCACAGTTAGGAAAAACTCTGCCCCTTCCCTAAACCTTGAACTCAATTGCCTAACTCAAAATCAAACAGGTAGGAGCCTCAACTGACTCTGCTATTACCCAGGAAAGCAATCTGTTCCCACTTAACACCCCCATTCTATTTACTGGGAGGTCTTAAAATCACCAGAAATATGAGAAAGGATATTAGGTGCAGAGGCTGGCATGGGGGGTAAGAGGTGACTGCCAAATGAGATCCTGAATATGAAAATAGCAACAACAAAAAAAGTACAGCCCAGCATTTAAGAAAGATCCCAATGTCAGCTGGCACTCCCTAGCGCAAAGACAGATTTAAAAATCAGTTCGTTTTTAATCAATCAGTAAGGTGGCTCATGCCTGTAATCCCATCACTTTGGGAAGCAAAAGCAGGCAGATCACCTGAGGTCAGGAGTTCAAGACCAACCTGGCCAATGTGGTGAAACTCTGTCTCTGCTAAAAATACAAAAAAAAAATTTAGCCGGGCATAGTAGTGCATGCCTGTCATCCCAGCTACTCAGGAAGATGAGGCAGGAGAACTGCTTAAGCCTAGGAGGGGTAGGTTGCAGTGAGGCAAGATCGTGCCACTGCACACCAGCCTGGACGACAGAGTGAGACTCAGTCTCAAAAAAAAAAAAAAAAATTCAGGAAAAGACAAGACCCTGAATTCACACAAACTTTTCATTTTTTTTCAAATGTGTTTATAATTACCCCGGATAAATAAACACATATAACAGACGCTTCTAGTCAAAATGTTAACTTGCACTAGTATTCAAAACTGTATATGCAAAGAGTGAAACTTCATGTAAATTGTGTACTTTAGTTAATAACAACACATCAACTTTGGCTCATCAGTTATAACTAAATATGGCATACTAATACAAAATGTTAATAATAGGGGCTGGTGGCTCATGCCTATAATCCTAGCACTTTGGAGGGCTGAGGTGGGCAAATCACTTGAGCCCAGGAGTTTAAGACCAGCCTGGGCAACATAGCAAAACTTCATCTCTACAAAAAATACAAAACTTAGCCAGGTGTGGAGGCACATGCCTGCAGTCCTAGTTGCTAAGGAGACTGAGGTAGGAGGATTTTCTGTCTTTAGAAAAAAAAAAAAAGGAAACTTGGGAATAGGAATCAGGGAGTATATGTGAATTCTGTACTTTCTTCTTGTTTTTCTGTAAACATAAAACCGCTCTAAAAAATAAAAGTCTATTAATTTTTTTTAAGTATATATGTATAGATAGGAAGGCTGGGCACAGTGGCTTATGCTGTAATCCAAACATTTCAGGACGCTGAGATGGGCAGATTGTCAGGTCAGTTTGAGACCAATCTGGCCAGCATGGTGAAACCCTGTCTCTATTAAAAATACAAAAATTAGCCAGGCCTGGTGATACACACCTATAGTCCCAGATACTTGGGAGACTGAGGCAGGAGAATCACTTGAACCTGGGAGGCAGAGGTTACAGTGAGATGAGATTGAGCCACTGCACTCCAGCCTGAGTGACAGAGCCAGATCCTGTCTTGGGGAAAAAAAAAAAAAAAAAGAAAATACAGTAACTTTAGGATGGTATGCAATGCAATCACCATAGGTCACAAAATTTTACACACACCGTGTATTTATGTATGTATAATAATCACAACTATGGAATAAATACATAAAAGACTGGAAGGAAATGCACCAAAACCTAAACCTAATAACCATTTCGCTTTGCAGAGGTTGGGTTAAGGGGACTAAATTTGATCATCTTATTTACAGTATCAATCTTTTTTTTAACGAATATTTATTACTTTTATGATCAAAAATAAATACAAGTAACTTTAAATACAATAAAGGACACCGTTTTGGACACTATTCTCCATCCAGGTAGGGTGAACTTTACCTGGCACACTGTTTACTTGTGGAAGTGGTATTTTTCTGCCCAAGGATACTTTTGATTGTGCATTATGGAACTCTAGGCCTTACTTATATCCATAATTAAAGTAGAGGAAAGATGTGCTCCATGCTTTACACAAAGATGTCTCTTGGCTGATAAAAAAAAAAAAAAAAAAGCTTCATCCAACCCAGGGCTCTCTTGGATAGGCTGCTACTCTGCAATCCACCCCATCTTCACCCAACCCGCCCTCCCCACCCCCCCCACTCCCCCACTACCCGCAATCATTGACTCAGAGAAAATACTGCAGCTCAGCAGTCCCACATCCAGCAGTACAGGTTTTAAGTCAAATGTATTGAGGTTTTCCCTGTGCCAGGCTCTCCAATAAGCACTTAAATGATTAACTCATTTAACCCTCACCATAACCCCAAGAGGCAGGCACCCTCAGTGTTTTCTTTCTACAAGACAAAGCACACGGAGGATGGGGGTAGTGGGAAGATTGGGAAATCAGGCTATTCCTGTTCTCCTTTACTCTCCCCTTCTCAGGAGCCTAGCCCCTACCTAGTCACTATGGCCAGCCCAGTACCAGTCATAGTTCCTACATTTGCTCATTTAACCAAGAGTGGAGACTCAGAAACCAAGGAGGCTGACTCTGCCTCACAGCCTGATTAGACTGTCAAGGAACATGAGCCTCGCCCTGAGAAAGGGATGCTGCCACTGCTCTTTATTTTGAGACAGAGTCTCACTCTGGCTGGATGGAGTGCGGTGGTGCTATCTCAGCTCACTGCAACCTCCACCTCCCAAGTTCACGCGATTCTCCTCCCTCAGCCTCCTGAATAGGCTGGGATTACAAATGCCACCATGTCCAGCTAATTTTTGTATTTTTACTAGAGACAGGGTTTCACCATGTTGGCCAGGCTGGTCTCGAACTCCTGACCTCAGTCAGGTGATCCACCTACCTCAGCCTCCTAAAATGTTGGCATTACAGGCCTGAGCCACCAGGTCCAGCCTGCTGTTGCTCTTTTAACCAGGAATGCTGACCTATTGCTGAGATATTCCCAGATCAATCTGGCAGGGGAAGCGAGGATGAGCAAACAGATATTTCTAGCATACATATTCTATTCTTTTTCTATTTAATTATAAATTCAAGTAATTCTAGTGGAGAATAAAGAATGTTCACAGCTCAAGTTTATACTATACCAGCACAAAGTTTTAATTCATTTAAATTTATCCATTCAATGAATGATAAGTACAGAAAAGGCACTATCCTACAAATATGGCAGAGATGAAAAAAAAAAAAAAGAAATATGGCAGAGGTGCTTCAAAGACAGCAGGAGACCTAGTACAATATCATAAAGAGCTCACGTTTCAACTAGGAGGCACTGACCTGCTTATGAGATGTTTATGTATCTCATTGCTTACAATAGGCAAAGTGACGTCTTCTGAGTTCTAGAAACAGAGGCCATACTTACATCTGCCCAGATTTTCCATGCTTCTCTTGCTTTCTTTACAGTGTCTTCATAGTCTGCTACACTGGCCTAAATTAAGAATTAGGGGGACAGAGAGGGGGAAGTAAAGGGAAGTGATGATGATCTTCTAGAACACACAAATATTTTCAGGAAAGAATTGGAAAATCTCTAGGGTTCCCCAACATTTATGACTGAGAATGATCCCCACGGTCTACACTTCCAAAAACCAGCTAGAACCCAATAAAACAGGTTGGAATCCACTGTGCTTTAAAACCTTGCTTTTCAAAGCAAAATCTGTTAGCTTCATCTGGGAACAACACGTGAGGCATATTAGAAATGCAGAACCTTGAGCTCCAACCCAGACTTCAGAAATCAGCTTCATTCTAACAAAATCCTCACGTACTTCAGAAGCACTGCCTTAAATGGCCCCTGCCTAGTCTTTCTATGGTTCACCTTTTCTATGATTCTTTTCTTTTCACACCCCCCACCCAAGAGTGGACAGTGTCTCCCAGACAGTCCTAAATGTCAAATGAAAAATAAACACAGCTGGGTACAGTGGCTCACGCCTGTAATCCCCGCACTTTTAGAGATTGAGGGGGGCAGATCATTAAGTCGAGATGGAGACCATCCTGGCCAACATGGTGAAACCCCATCTCTACTAAAAAATACAAAAATGAGCCGGGCTCGGTGGCTCACGCCTGTAATCCCAGCACTTTGGGAGGCCGAGGTGGGTGGATCACGAGGTCAAGAGATCGAGACCATCCTGGTCAACACGGTGAAACCCCGTCTCTACTAAAACTACAAAAAATCAGCTGGGCATGGTGGCGCATGCCTGTAATCCCAGCTACTCAGGAGGCTGAGGCAGGAGAATTGCCTGAGCCCAGGAGGCGGAGGTTGCGGTGAGCCGAGATCGCGCCATTGCACTCCAGCCTGGGCAACAAGAGCGAAACTCCGTCTCCAAAAAAAAAACAAAAAAAAAAAAAAAAAAATACAAAAATGGGCAGGGTGCGGTGGCTCATGTGTGTAGGAGGCCAAGGCGGGCGGATTACAGGGTCAGGAATTTGGGACCGGCCTGGCCAATATGGTGAAGCCCCGTCTCTACTAAAAATACAAAACTTAGCTGGGCATGGTGGCAGGCACCTGTAATCACAACTACTTGGGAGGGTGAGGCAGAAGAATCGCTTGAACCCAGGAGCCGGAGTTTGCATTGAGCCGAGATTGTGCCACTGCGCTCTAGCCTGGGAGACAGAGCGAGAGTCTGTCTCAAAAATAAATAAATGAAAATAAACACGTTATTCTCTGCATTTGTGACTTTGTATAATCCTTTTTTTTTTTTTTTTTTTTTGGAGACGAGTCTCGCTCTGTAGCCCTGACTGGAGTGCAGTGGTGCAATCTCGACTCACTACAACCTCCGCCTCCTGGGTCCCAGTTCAAGCAATTCTCCTGCCCCAGCCTCCTGAGTAGCTGGGATTACAGGCACGAGCCACCATGCTCAGCTTATATATATACATATATATATATATATATATATATATTTTTTTTTTTTTGTATTTTTAGTAGAGACGGGGTTTCACAATGTTGACCAGGCTGGTCTTGAACTCCTGATCTCGTGATCCACCTGCCTTACCCTCCCAAAGTGCTAGGATTACAGGTGTGAGCCACCTCACCCAACCGATTTTGTATTATTCTTGACCTGCCTAACTGGCTTCTGCCCCTAAAGAAAGCCTGCACAAACTCCTTGTGTGTAATTTGAACACACACACATACTCACTCTCTCTCTTTCTCTCTCTTACCTGCCGGACTCTTGCTATAGGCTCGTTGTTAGCAGGACAGTAAGTTGTAATAACCTTAAAACAAAAGGAAGATGATCATGTATAGAAAACATAATCCTTTCAGAACTAAGGGAATAGAACAAATAGAGGGAAAGAAAAACAAGAGAGAAAAAAATGATACAGTATCCCAACTCAAAAACCTTAGGTCAACTTCTGTTACAATATAAACCACCCTACAGAGGTTGTCTACCATTTCTGACCCAAACATTGGAAACTACCTTTCTGCAAAACTCTCCCTTGACGTCTAAATATTAGGTATATAAACAAAAGCCTTAATGTAACCAGTTTTTTTGCCTCTTTTTCCATTAATAACAGACCAAACTGACTAGTTTTAGTTATTCCTTCTCTCCCTTACTCTGCCGACCCTCTGCTCTGAGATGAAATGACCAAGGCGGAAAAACCATGGGAAAAGCTTGGGTCCACACCACCTGGAGAGGTCTCAGGTCAACAATGAAAGGGAAAATTAAGCCACAGCTAAAAGGGCCTTCAAGAGCCTAATGATCAGATACTACAAGGAAATCAGGATGAAACACCGAGGTTTGGGGAGCAATTAAAATCATCTGCATCTCCTACGGCCACCGATAACCAAAAGAAAGACGTGTTCGCGCTACCCAGGAAGGTTCGTTATATAATACGTAGCGTCCAACAAAGTTTGTTAACTGTTATATATCATCTTCCTATTAAAAAAATCTTTCTTTTAAAGAAAAATCTGGGCGATAATAACCTTACCTTTCCGTTGTATTCTATATAACATTTTACTGAGCAGTAATGGGCGTCAGGCGCAGTGCTAAGCCCTGGGCAATGGAGAAATGCTGAAAACCAGTCCTCAAAGGCGTTCACAGCCCAACAAAAACACGAGAGGATTTCAGCAAGTTCGAGCTTGCAAACTCCCAAGAAATTCAGGAAGGAAGATAACTTAAAACTACACTGAAGAACGTAACCTGCGGTGCATGTCACAGCTGAAGGGCCAGAGTGAAATTCTAAATTAAGATCAGTTGCACTGCCTATAACACATTTCTCACTTCAGATCTCAGGCCTCTGCCATAAGGTTTTAAATATGCGCGGGAAGTTTAGCCCCCCACAGCTCCAAAATGACGTCGATTCTGCATAGCACACAAGGACCTAAAATCTAAATTTTTGTTTTAAAGGCACCCTACACGAGAAAACTTTTACTGTGGCGCTTCAAAATCTCCCATCCAATACAACCGCCTCCAGCGCTAGCGGGGAGTCGGGTAGGGCAGTGCCCGCCCGCCTCCCCTAGCGAACGCCCGCGGCTGCAGAGATTTCTTGGGCGCCCACGTACCTCTCCCCGGCCTCCCCAGATTCCATTATACACGCCCTCGTTTTCCTCTCGGAGGCCCAGCTCTTTCAGCCACGCATACTGGGGCTGATTGATCAGGAGAGTGGACATGAAGGCGGCAGGCCTGCTCCAAGGTCCGGGGAGCTTGCTGGTCCTTGCAGCGTGCACACACAGCGCGCGGGGGAGGCGCCACATACTGAGCCCAGAACTCGGGGTGAGCCTGAGGCCTGGAAAGCTGCTGAAATAGAGCCCCGCCCCGCGCCCGGGAGAACCCATTGGGCAGACCCGAACCCTCCCACGGGGCACGCCCCCACGGCGGCCCCAGGTCTTCCGGAGGAGCCTGCGGGTGAACCCTGCCTGGAACAACGGGAGTGCGGTAGGGAGGAGTGGGCTGCTGCCATCTGGTGAAAGACTCCGGGAGCCATGTTTTCAGCTGGGAATTCTTTTCAGTAAAATATTGGCGCTGAAGTACAAAGGGAGAGAGCTGGGGTTCTGAAACTGTAAAATGTATGTAATGACCTGGTAGTCGTGATAAATGCACATTCTGATTCAGTAAGTCTGGGCTGGGTTTGGAAAGCCGGCATTCCTAACCAGCTCCTTGGCGATGCTGACGCCTCTGGTCCCTGGAGTAGCCAAGGGAGGGTTTGTATTGAGGGGCAGGGGAAGGGATGTTTTTAATTTTAATAAAACAAACAGGTTTGTTTTCAGTGTTTTGGTAGATTACAAATTAAAGCTTTCTAATTAATGGTAAATATTAGATTGTTGTATTTCTTTATAAATACCTACCTGGGTATATTCTTTTTTTTTTTTTTTTTTTTTTATTAAGACAGTTTCCCTCTCATTGCTCAAGCTGGAATACAATGGCGAGATCTCCCTTCACTGCAACCTCCACCTCCCGGGTTCAAGCGATTCTCCTGCCTCAGCCTCCCAAATAGGTGTGATTACAGGCGTGCATCACCACGCCGGGCTAATTTTTTGTATTTTTAGTAGAAACGGGGTTTCACCATGTTAACCAGGCTGGTCTTGAACTCCTAACTTGTGACCCACCAGCCTCAGCCTCCCAAAATGCTGGGATTACAGGTGTGAGCCACCGCACTGAGACACTTTTCTTGAGACGAAGTCTCACTCTATCATCCAGGCTGTAGTGCAGTGGTGCAATCTCCTCTCACTGCAACCTCCACTTCCTGGGTTCAAAAGATTCTCCTGCTTCAGCCTCCCCAGTAGCTGGGATTACAGGCATGCACCACCACATCTAGCTAATTTTGGTATTTTTAGTAGAGGTGGTGTTTCACCATGTTGGCCATGCTGGTCTTGAATCCCTGACCTCGTGATCTGCCCTCCTCTGCCTCCCAAACTGCTGGGATTACAGGTGTGAACTAACATGCCTGGCCTACTTTTTCAAAATATTATTTGTCACTACTTGCCTTGCAGTGTAGGTTTCCACACTGCAGCCAGAGAGTCATTTTATGTTTTCATAAAAAGCCTGTGTTTTCCTCCCACTGGGCCTGTGCCCTTGCTGTTCTATCTGTAAAATCCTTCCTTTTTTTTTTTTTTTTTTTTTTTTTTTCTTTTTTTTTCGCTGGGGTTGAGGGGCAAGCACAGGATCTCACTCTGTCACCCAGGCTAGAGTGCAGTGGCACAATCATGGCTCACTGAAGCCTCAACCTCCGGGGCTCTAGTGATCCTCCCACCTCAACCTCCCAAATAGCTGGGACTACAGGCATGCCACCACGCCCAGTTAATTTTTGTGGAGTTTTTGTAGAGACGGGGTTCCCCCATGTTGCCCAAGCTAGTCTGGACCCCCTTGGCTCAAGCGATCCACCCACCTTAGCGTCCCAAAGTGCTGAGATTACAGGCTTGAGCCACCGCTCCCGGCCCCTTTGATCTCTGCATTCAAGCCTGAGCTTTATCTTTTCCACCCTTATAGTACAAATGATTTGAACAAACACTCTGCATGTATCAAGCACCTACCAGAAACTGCAGTTAGTACTAGGCATAAATGAATGATGCGTTCTTTTGTAAATACTACGTTTTTTTCCTGTTAGGGCAAGGATCATCTCTGACTCATGCTTGCATTGCTCCAGTTCCTAGCATTGTTCCAGGCTTATGCCCACTTACATGAGTGTATGAACAAATGAACCAATGAAGAACGCCCTTGAAGGGTAGCAGTGCCTGTCTGACTTGATACTCTCTATCAACAACCTTGCTGCTGTCTTCCATCTACCCGCAGGACCACGGTGCTAATTTTTCTAATTTTAATTCTCAGACATTTGAACTGATTCCCATCACTTTCTACCAGCCAACAAGATTCTTTGTCTACATATCCCAAAACCACATTCTTCCTTCTCATCTTCTCCATTCACTTCAATGAAATGAAAACACATTTACAGATGCACTAACGTTTAGGAGCAATACAGAGTGTTATCAAGGAGTGTTAGCTTCCCTCTCTTCAAATCAAGAAGAGAAGTATGGTCATCCTTCTAAACTGATTCTGGCTGGCTGAGCACAGTGTCTCATACCTGTAATCCCAAAACTTTGGGAGGCTGAGGCAAGAGGATCACTTGAGTGATCAGAAGTTCAAGACCAGCCTGGTCAACATGGTGAAACGCTGTCTCTACTAAAAATACAAAAATTAGCCAGGTGTGGTGGTGCACATCTGTAGTCCCAGCTACTTGAGAGGCTGAGTCAGGAGAATCACTTGAACCCGGGAGGTGGAGGTTGGAGAGCACTCCGGCCTGGGCGAGAGAGAGAGACCCTGTGTCTAAAAAAAAAAAAAAAAAAAACAAGCCAATTCTGGGAAAATAGGCACCAGCAACTGCTCACATTGAAAATAGGGATTTCATCCTTCTTCTACCTCCTTTTTTCAAAACTCCTGTAAGACCCGCAGCCAATGAAAGGAGTTCCTTAGAATTTCAGCTGGAGTGATTGCCAGTTTCTTCCCGCAGCCGCGAAATTCAAACATAAAACCGTTAAATCTCCCGGATGGAGAGAGATGAGAGGGAGGCATGGCACTAGGAAGTTCTTGCCTTAAAACTACGCCCCCTTGAGGACCGGGAAAGAAAACACATTCCCTCAGAGGGTGGATCTCTTAAGGTCAGGAGTTCAAGACCAGCCTGGCCAACATGGTCAAACCCCATCTCTACTAAAAATACAAAAATTGGCAGAGTGTGGTGGTTCATGCTTCTAACCCCAGCTACTTGGGAGGCTGAGGCATGAGAATCTCTTGAACCCAGGAGGCAGAGGCTGCAGTGAGCTGAGGTTTTGCCACTGCACTCCAGCCTGGAGACAGAGCGAAACTCTGACTCAAAAAGAAGAAAGAAAGAATTAATAGGAGGCCTGCCATGCCACGTGGGAGACAGAATTATTACTCAAATCAATATCTGGGAGAATTCAGGGGCTACTGTTTTTCAAAGATAGTTTGGGGAAGGGATGGAGTGGCTAAGCAATGAGTTCTTGCTGCTGATTGGTTAGGGAAGCAATCTTAGGGGTGTGGAAATTGTCCTCAAGCCGCTCAACAGCTTCTGTGTGGGCCCACAGAAGCGGTTGGCGGTTCACGGTTCAGGTGGAGCCATTGGTAGTCAGACAAGCAAAATATCTGAAAAGATATCTCAAATGTCGTCTTAGGGTCTACAATAGTGACGTCATCTGGTAAAGTAACTGGGGAACTTGCATACCTTGTGACCTCTCGGATGATGACTGGCAAGGGTTTTTGCCTACACCTTAAAAAATTCAGCCTCCTCTATTCTTCTATCCTGCTGGTCTCTTATTAGCTTTACAAAGGCGGTTGACTTTTGGGGAAGGGTTATTATCGTTTAAACTATAAACTAAATGTCTCCCAAAGTTTGATGGACTGGCCCAAGCCCAGGAATAATTAAGGGCAGCTTGAGGGCTGAAAGCAAGATAGGGGCTGGCTAGATCAGATCCCTCCCACTGCTATAATGCTCTCACTGTTACAATTTTTGCAAAGGCGGTTCCAAGATAACCTTTAAAGAATGGAGTGGTTTGAGGTAAGGGCCTTCCAGGCCGAGTGAACAGCAAATGCAGAGGCCTTTAGCTCGGAATGAATAAAGGGTGCCTGAGGAACCACAGGAGCAGCCAGCGGTTGGGCAGGGGGACACACCAGGACCAGTGGCCATATGCCCAGATCACAGGACCTTTTTTGCCAGGCTGAGAACTCAGTCCTTGTTTTGGGGAGGGATGCCCTTGGAAGATTCGAGCTAAGGTACAATCGTCCCTCGGTATCCGCAGGTCTTTGTTTTCAGGACACCACCCCCACCCCTGCAGATACCAACATCCGCCACGCTCAAGCCCCTTACTTTACGTGGCGGTGCACGGTCGGTCTTTCCCATCCGCAGGTTCGGCGTCTGTGGATAGAGAGTGGATACAGGGCGGACTATACTGCTTGAAAAGCTTCCCTGGGGCCGGGCGCGGTGGCTCAAGCCTGTAATCCCAGCACTGTGGGAGGCCGAGGCGGGTGGATCACGAGGTCAAGAGCTCGAGACTACCCGTCAGCATGGTGAAACCCCGTCTCTACTAAAAATACAAAAAATTAGCTGGGCATGGTGGCGCGTGCCTGTAATCCCAGCTACTCAGGAGGCTGGGGCAGGAGAATTGCCTGAACCCGGGAGGCGGAGGTTGCGGTGAGCCGAGATCGCGCCATTGCACTCCAACCTGGGTAACAAGAGAGAAACTCCGTCTCAAAAAAAAAAAAAAAAGAAAGAAAAGCTTCCCTGGAAGCAATACGTAGAGTGGATTATGGAGGAGCAAGAATGGAAGCCGGGAGGCTTGACCAGAGCATACAGGCGAGGGATGTACGGCCAAAGGCGGAATCCCAGACGACCGCGACTCGTAACATATTTATGTTTGCACGAAAATGAAGTTTGGAAGAAAAGTGTTGGGGGCACAAGGGATTCATTTTTCCGGGGTAGTTCCAGTGCAATGGCGACGCCTCAAGCCGCTGGGACAGGCAGGCCTCCGCGCGGGGGCGCCCGAGCAACCTCGCCGCCGGGCCTTCCCGCCGGAAGTGCTCTCCTGACCCGCCGCCACGCAGCGCTCCGCACCGCGCCTCGCCGCGCCGCGGGAAGATGGCGTTGGAGGCCGGCGACATGGAAGATGGGCAGCTTTCCGACTCAGATTCCGACATGACGGTTGCACCCAGCGATAGGCCGCTGCAAGTGCCAGTGAGTGTGAAGGGAGGGTGGGTGGTCGTGGCTGGGCGCGCCAAGCCCGGGCCCCGGGGAGCGCGCGGGCGGCGGTGAGGGTGAGGGGTGGGAGCGAGGAGCCCGGACTGCCGGGTCATTGGCAGTAGAAGGGGCACGCAGGCGTCCCCCGGGCGGGCTCACGGAGCTCGGGTTTGGGAAGCTGGGGGGTAGCGGCGGCAGCGGCTGGGCGTGCGGACCCCGACGCGGCTACTCACTGCGAGGCGGGGCGCGCGAGCCTTGGCGCCTCCTGGAGGCGGGCTTGCGGCGGTCTCGCGGCGGTCTCTGGGCCATCTCATCTCCACCTATAAACTTAGGGATTCCCTAGCGCCGCTAGGTGACCGTAAAGGGGTAGATTTTACCAAAAATGTAGCATCTGGGGACATCGACCCTAAACAGCCTGTGATGCTCATTTTATACCTGGACCGAAGGGAGACCGAGACCCAGGAATGAAGTTTATCGCTCAC